TTTTTTTTTCCCCAATGGCTAATGCCAGATCCTCTTCTGTAAGCTTCAAACATGTGAGCAGATTGATTTTGTTAAGACTTAGAGCCAAACTAACAGTTTAGTTAATTTTCAGCCTTTTTGCTGAACTCAGCTAACCTGCTGCTGCTGTAGCTTCATACTTAAGTACAATCATCAGCCTTCACATCTTCCTCACCAAGCAAAGGAAAAAAGCTGCCAACAGATCAAACTCTGCCTAACAAATAACTCAACAAACACAAAGTTCAAGCACTTTCAGGACAAAATTTTATATAATGTAAACACTTGACACTGTAAGGCACCATTTGATGAGCTAACTGAAACTTTACCTCATGTCTGCCCTTCGCTTGTTATTTCTGTTGGTAGAAGGGACTGTCAAAGCCACTGTCCTGTTGGCACTGCCTCAACTCAGAAAACGGAGGCCTTGACCAGCCTTCCTGCAGCTTCTCACATTCAGAGCCAGGAGTAGGCTCTCTGTGCATACTCCTCTTTGCATGCACAAATGTCTCTGTGTCAGGAGTCTTCTTAGAAATCTCATTATAAACAGTGAGGTCAGAAACATCAGGGCTGAGACTGCTGAATTCCCCTATGTTGCTGGCTGATGCAGCCGACACAGAAAAGGGTTTCACTGGTTCCACTTTCCTCCCTGAGTAGGACAGTCTGGGGACTTGGAAGTCTGTGTCAGAGTCACCACTAGTCATGCTCCAGTCGTTCTGTTTCTCATTCCTGACAGGAGCCTCCTGGATGAGGACAGGTTTTCTCTGACGCTGTGAATCCAAATGGGTTTCGGCTTTCCTCGAGTCACCTCCCTGCATGTACATCTCCCTGCTCTTACACCTCACAGACACATTGACCAAATTCATGTGGGATGGAGAAACCGTTTGATGAGAGGATTTGTACGACGGCTGGGTGGTATAAACATTTTGGGGCTTCATCCCTTCATCCACAGAGGTCTCCTCCCTCCTTGATGCAAGAATGTCCAGGTGGCTCAAAAGTTTAGTTCTCACATCTGCGGTTGGATTCTGTTCTGAATCAGCACAAGTCTTTTCCCTGAGGCATCTCTCTTCTGTCCTGAAGTCAGGAAGCTCAGTGAGGGTTGGCAGGTTCTTAGTGAAACCTGCATTTCTACCTGGAGGGCAGCCAGTGGTGGATACAGCCATTGAACATCCTGTCAATGCAAAACACAGATGCAAACCACACTGGCATGGTGAGAAAAAAATCCCAGTAAAACAGTTTAGCACATTAGCACTCACTCTGTAAACTCTGGTTCTTTGCTGATTTACTTTTGATTGGAGTCTCCAGCACTTTGGCCATGGCAGCCAGCTTGCTTGCAGCATTCATTATTTTCTTTTCAGCACTGCAGAAGACAGGAAAATCGATACAATTAACAAGAGGAGCCATGATGAACCAAGCAAACAAGTTTAGGATAATTATGGCCTCTTGCCCTGCGGTCTTTCCTCCATCTTCCAATAACTCCTGCAGACAGGTCAGATAATACCGCCTCATCTTTCTAGCAGTGTCCTGCCTCTCCCTCTGCACTTCCCTGCGGATCATCTCGCCTGCACGCTCTCGACTTTCCTGGAGGTAACGCAGCATGTCTCCTGAAAGGAAAAAAACCCAAAAAACACTGTTTTACTTAAAAATGCAACATCCAAATGAACAGAATCAACCTTTTGGGACACATGATTTAACATTAAAAAAAACAACAACAACAACAACAACAACAACAACAAACGACAAGATATGCATATTTAATCCCCCGGCACTAACGCCAACCTCTGATCTTTTCCACAGTCATCAGGTACTGCTGCTTCATCTCCTCCAGGCCTTGCTGAAGCTTTTGCTGCTGACCAGAACTTCTGCAAGCAAAACAGTCAACAATCCTGGTTAAATACATATTTTGTCTTTAATCTCTGTGTATTTTACTGTATTCAGTAAACATTTTGACACAGTGTAGCAAGTGAATTTCCCCAGTGGGGGATTAATGAAGCCATGTCTAATTATGCAGTTCAGAAATTATCAGAGTGTTAACATACAGAAGAGTCCTTGTTTCTTTTGTTTTTTTAGTTTTCTTAATATAAATCAGGTAAAGCGGTCCCACAGTAAGAAGCATTTAACAGTCCCTTGAAGTAGCTTTGAAATCTCTTGTTTTCTTTATGGTTTTTTAAAATCTAAATTGTCTTGACAGATTATGATGCCAAGATAATTTAGATGCTCCAAGTTTAAAATAAACTTGGAGCATCTTGGAGCAACTTGTCTCAAGAAATTAAACTTGTAAATTAAAAGATCAAACCGAAGAAACTTGTTGAGAGGTCTAATTGAATACGTAGCTCTGAAAGGCATTAGATTTATGAAACAACTTGTTTTTGACATAACTGAAGTGCAGCAAGGCAATAGCAATTTTCACTGTACCATTAAATTAAAGGCAAAAAAATAAAAAATAAAAAAAACACAAACCCTGATGATTCTGTTGCTCTCTTCACTTCCTCTAACTGTTGCAGATGTTCCTCCTTTGCCCTCTGTAAGACGCTTTCATGCTCATCTACAACAGATAGCACTTAACCCGTCAGCACACATGCAGTTCCAGCTCATAAAAAAAAAAAAAATCTTATAAAAGAATCTTAATAAGGTCTTTTAAATGCACTACCTTTGAGATGCTGTATGGCAGTTTTGTGCTCTCTAACGCTGTGCTGGAGTTGTCGACAGGTTTTCTCTAAATGTCTCTGGAGCTCCTGATTCTTCTTCTGCAGCTTACTTACACTTTCACTGCACTCCTTCCTGCAATGACACTGCTCCCTCTGCTGGGATAAGACTGCTAAAAAAATAAAATAAAAAAAAAACTGAAAAAAAAAACCTTGCCATATAATATTGATACCAACCATTTCATGAAATGAACAGAGTATGTCATGTTGATATACAGGCAGAACATTTTCATGTCCTGCTAGAGAGGAGCTCATTGCGTACTTTGCATTTTCTTTATTTCTCCTTCGTGCTGTTTCTGCGTTTCCTTCAAAGCACGGCTCAAATTCTCTTCACTCATCTGTGGGATCAAAAATGAAAGCTTCAGATGAAAAACTTTCTAAATAAAAGACAAATCTGTAAAAAAAAATAAATAAATAAATAAATTAAATTAAATTAAATAAAATTAAATTAAATTAAATAAATAAATACATAAAACGTGCTGTACAAATCATTCATGGCAGTACTTGTAATAAAAATGATGACATTTCTTACTCATCTCTCTGGCTACTCTAATCTTTTCCTTTTGCACACCAACTTAATTTATACATTTATCATTTATATATTCTTTAGAAATATAACAACTCACTGTTTTCCATTCCTTCTTAGCCTGGGCTACTGCTCTTTGGACTATGTCTCTGCATGAAGTTTGGATGATGTGTGTTACTGTAGCCTCTGATGTAGCCCCGCTGGTCCTCCGAGTGTCTTCAGTACCCTGATGATCCGTTTTGGTATTCCTGAGAAGTTGTGCCTGGACCTCTGCGAGTGCAGTCTGAAGCTCTGCTTGTAGTTCATCTCTTATCTGCTTTCCTTGGATCGTTTCCTTTTCTGCATGCTGGCATCGCCACTCCTCCTCACGAGCACTCACAGTTTGCTGAAGCTTGGCCTCCATCTGTAGGAGCAGCTCATTCTTTTGGAGATCAGCATCTTCTCTGGCTTGGAATACAGCCTGCTCCAGCTTTTTGCACTGCTCTTGCAGCTTGGCTTGATATACCTGCTCACTGCGGGCCTGGATGATGGCGATCTCCTGCTGTTTGTCTCTGTTCCAGGCTGCTCTCGCTCCAGCCAGCTCAGCTTTCAATAAGGCAGCTTGCTCTCTGGTCACTTGCTCCAGCTGGCTCTGGAGGGCTGCCAGTTCCTCTTGCAGCTCCTCCATCCTTTGTGGCCCAGAGCCGTTCTCCTCCTGCTGGTTCTTGTGCTTCCTGCGCCACTGCTCTTCCGCCTCCTTCAGGGCTTGGGACACCTAAAACATTTAAATAAATATATAACCCCGGACAACAGCAGTGACACTTTCAAATAAAGGACAAAAACTCTTTCATACCTTCTGTTGGGTGTGTTTTTCTTGCAGTTGTTCCCATTTCTCCTTCTCAGTTTGTAGAGCAGCTTGATATTCTGGCAGTGAAGTGAGATCCTCAATCCAGCGATTATAGGCTCTGGTTACTGCCCCTTCAACCTGAAACAAACACAAACGCATTTTTATGTCCATTAACTGAATCAAATAATCATGTCAAAGAGGAAAAGAAATATCATTATGATATAAACATTTTTACATAATGGTGGAAAATAACTTAACCAAGTCTTGTGAGTAATATACACTAAAATTGATGGTTTAAATCTCTGTACCTAAAATAGATGAAGTTGACTTTAAGGGTCTGAAATGTCATATTCCGCACTCTGTTGTTTTTTTTTTTTTTTTTTTTTTTAATGCGTCGATATCTGGTGAAATGTTTAATTATTTAGCAAAGTCTTGGTCTGTACGGGATGCTAGTCCAAATCAGTCTATCAGCCTGTGATCGTAGCACAAAAACAAAGCCAAAGACCTCAAACTGCGTTGCTGGTGGGTTTTTTGTTTGGTTACAGTCCAATCACTTGACAGTCATCAAGCCTTTTCAAATTAAAGTAGGTCTACTTTAATAATTCAAAACACATGCACATGTATTTTGATGACCATTAAAATATGTTTAATATTTCTCTTGAAATACAATCATAAAACAAAAATGCACTGACTTGTTTAGCCATGTCGTCCAGGTGTTTCTCCTGCAGCTCTCTCTGGACTCGTTTCCTGGCTTCCTCCACAGCTTTCCTTCTGACATTTTCAGATTCCAGTTGCAGCTGCTGTCTCTGGGCACTGAGCCTGGAGTCCAACTCCTCAGCAGAAATTGTCCAACTGACCTCATTCTCATCCGTCTGACAGCTTGTCTCAGCAACCTCTTGATGTTCCCCTCTTGTAGCCTCCTCCAACCTCTGGGCCCAGGTCTTCTCCATCTGTATAAAAAGTAGAACAGAAGAAAATAAGTGTTGTATGAAACCAATATTAGTCGAATGAGGGAGATAGGAATACATTTTAATAGTCATACCTTTTGCAACTCCTCCTTCCATGCAGCCTCAGTGGAAGCTAAATGAGAAGTCAGTGTTTGCTGGAACTCAGCCTCTTTCTCTTTGGACCAGACAGCTTTCAGCTCCATAACTGAGGCCTGATGCTGAGCCTCAAGCTCACTTCTCAGCTTCTGCATAGCTGTGCCACTCTCCTCTCTGATCAACTTCTCCTCCTTCTCTCTGCTGCGGATGCTTTCTTCAAGCAAGTCCTTCTCCTTGCAGACAGATATGTAACATTCTTGTACCGCCAGCATCTTATCATTAGCTTCAGAGAGCTGGCTTCTGTGGAAAAAATAAAAAAATATCCACAAAAGTCTGAAAACAACTATATTTTTAGCATGAGGTGCAGGAGACTTACTGTAACTGCTGAAGCTGCTGCTGGTGCTGTGTCGTCAGCCGCTCTACCTGAGCATCATGTTCCAGCATGAGTTCTGTTCTGATCCTGTTAACCACATCATTCCTGTACTGCTGATGAATCCGCTCAGATCTAAGCAAAAGAAGCACATATACTTATAAATACACATAACAGGAAAATACACGTGCCCCAAGAAAGAGGAGGAAGAGAAAGAGTCAACTTTACCTCTCAGCAGCTTCTTGCTTTTCTTGGTCGAGCTCCTGGATCATTTCCCTCATTTTGGTGCACAACTCAGAATTGGCAGACTTCAGTTTTTCCTCGTTTTCTTTCAGCTCCTGATTCTTCTTTTCTAGCAGCTGCAGTTTGGAGAAGACAACAGTTTTTTGTGACTTAGCCAAAAAACTAAGAACATGATTAGTCTGGCAACAAACGTCAACCCACCTCCACTTGTTCCTGCAAGTGTGTTTTGTCCTCCTGTAACCTCATCAACTCTTTTTGAGAGTCTCCAGTCATGTCTTGATGTTTCTTCTGGCTGGTTTCTTTCATCTGGGTAAATCAAAAATGTCTGCATCAGTCACCTACTCCCACCCACTTTTAGTCCTTTTATAAAATTAACCAAAGTTTAGAAAAGTAACAATTTTCAGGAGTCAGTGCTCACCTCAGAGTTAAGTTTTCTTTCATCTAATTCAATCTGCATTTCATTCACTCGACGCTGACACTGCTGGAGCTCCTCCTGCAGCTGGTTGATCTTCTGCCGCTTCCCCTTTAAACTACCCAGGCAGCGCTGCATCTCTACTCGTAGCAACCTTAAAGCCTCATCCTTAGGCAGCTTAGAGTCTGACAGGTGAGCCAAAGCAGTACTGACAAAACAACAGAAAGATGTGTTTCCAAAGGTTACTCTGGAGTGTTCAGCCCAAGAGGGGAAGAGATACAGATCACAATGACTGGTCTGTATTCACACGGTTACCTATTAAGTGTGCCATTTTTCCTGTTTGTTTTCTTCAACCCCAAATCCACACAGGATTCAGACAGCTGGTTCTCCGAGTTGCTGCTTAGGTCTATCACAATGACACCGTGCTTCACTGCAGATTCATACAGAGCGATCTGCTCCTTGAGATCAGCCATATCCTCCTTTAGGGTGAAAATGGAAAAACACAAAACATTTGTGCAGCTTGTTCATCAGAAGTCACAGAAGTAGTTGTGCTTTAGAAAAATCTGAGGACAAACCTGTAAAACTTTGTTCATGTTCTCACTCAGGGCCTTGGCTGACAGTGCCTGCTGTAGTTTGATTTGCATTTGACTCATCTCTTGCACTGAATCTGAAAATAAAAAACAGATAATTAGATCAATTAAATGTGAGCAAGAATAAGGTAATGTGGGTGTCAGCTGCTCAGTAATGTTCATGTGGAGTTCACACACTTGTCTGCAGCAGCTTGGCACATTGTTGTTGACTCTCTTCCAGACGCTGAGTGAGTGCATTCACCACTCTGGCTCTCTCCAGCTGCTCTTCTTCTCTCTGGCGCTCCAACAGCTTCACATGCTCCCGTAACTTCTGACCAATATCAAGCTGGAAGCCACAAAACAAAAAACACACTCTGACTTAACAATAATAATAATATTATCAAAATTTGTCTGATGACAAACAATGGACTTATGGTTAACTTGTTCCATTTTTTAATAGTATGTCAATAAAACTCCAGACCTGTTCATTCAAAGCCTGAGAGGTAGAGTCCAGCTTCTGTTGCAGGGCTAACAGAGCAGCCTCATGCTGCTCCTTTATGACGGCAAGGTCTCTGTCATGCTGTTCCCGCGCTCTGGACAGCGTGTCAGAACGGCGAAGCTCCAACATCTGTTGCTTCATGCTGTCTACCGCAGCATCTGCCACCCTCTGTTTCTTCATGTTCTGCAAACAAAAGAAAACCTTTGCTGTATACACTAAAAAGAAGCATTCTCATACAAAGGTTTCAGTCATGCATCATGTTTCAGTAAGCAGAGCTGGTTTAGACACATTTGTATGCAAAATTTCATATTAAATTCTTAAATCTGTAAAGCATGTTTCTTTAATAGTTATACTTAAATATTATTACTGTGTTAAATTTAGCATTAAATAACTAAGAAAATAGAATGAAAACAGTGTTTGTCAGCACAGAACGCACCTCGTGGTCTCTCTCAGTGAGGATCTGTATTTGCTGCTCCATTGCCTTCAGCTTGTTTTGCATTTGGACCTCTCTTTCCTTGGCTTCTTCAATCAATCGACTCGCTTCCCTTAAACTTACTGCTAGGCCGTCCTTTTCATCTATGGACAATATTTTTTAAAAGGACCATCAGTACATCTGGCAAGAAGTGCTACATCACTAACAGCCACAAGGGGGCAGACGTTTTAACCAACTAAAGAAAAACTTACATTTCCTTCTACTAATCTCAGTTATATAAACTGAAAATCCCTCTCAAGTCCCAAGTGCCCAAGGTTTTGAGTGGATTATTATTATTATTATTATTATTATTATTATTATTATTATTATTATGCTTGTAAAAAAAATTAAGTACCAACATTAAATGTTCTTCCTGAAAGTATTAAAGAAATCTCCAAAATCACATCACTGTTCAAGTACTGCAACAAAGTGAGATGTCCCTCATTTAAAGTTGAACATACCTTTGACGATTACAAACTGATGCTCGAGGTATCTCATGTTACGCCGTGAATCCTCAAGTTTTCGCTCCAAGTCTTCAATTTGCCTCTGTTGAGCTTTGTTCAAAATCTGCAGCTGGGCAAGCTGCTCCCGGTCAGCATTTTCTGAAACAAAGATCATTTAGTGTTTAATTTTAGTCATTTTTAATTGTGAAGACATTTTCGATTTAAGCAATGTCGTTTTATGTTTTTTTTAAAACCACTGGCGATACAAATTACACCTTTCTGCAGTACAGCTAGACTATGCATACAACTAGAAGAAAATAAAATGCCTTGTAACAGATTAAGCTACTTGACAATCTCCACCTGCAGTCCCGAAACAGGCACACATCTCATCAAATAGTTTATATTTACATGTCAGTGTACTCAGTTATATTATTTAGTCAATGAAAGTAAGACTTACGTTGTGTCGAGTCAAGGAAATCTCTCTGCAGATGGTCAAACTGACCTTGCGGAGCAGCCTGTGGCTTAAACATGTTTGGCTGATGGGCAGGATGATGAGGATTGTAGCTCACCTTGTACTGATTTGCACCTCTGTCACATACTTCAGACTTTAAACATAGAAACATAGTATGAAAGTAGTGAAAATGTTGCTGTATTTAAAAAACACAAAATACACAAACAAAACATACAAACATAAAAAAAATAAAAATGCACAAACTACAAATTGCCAGATAACAAGATGTTAATTTAAAATGACATTTGAGGAAACTTCACACACACAAGTAATGTATGATTCTTTTGGAATAAAATGCTGCTTTTTTAAAAACAATACTAGAAACCCTTTCATGTTACTATTTATTCAAATGATTTGGAGGCATTAAGACCTAAAACTTTAAAGGAAAGAACAGCACAATAACAGCTACGACCTTCTGGACGCTTTTGAAATTAAATGGTCCACTCACTTGAAATTGGTGGTTTTGCTTGTCTATGTATCCTCTTTCTCCATTATATTCCACATGATTACTGGCACCCTGAGGGTATGGTTTAGACTCAAACTCGGTGGAAAAATCACTGGTCTCTGTCATTTTGTCTGTGCCCATGCTTGTGCATGTATAATCTGCTTGTGTGAACTGATGATCCTGGTTCCAGGTGTGAGGCAGTGGTTGACTTTGAGGAGGACTCCGATGTCCATTAATACGAGCAGCTCCGTCCTTATATGCATACTCATTGTTCAACCCTTCGTCATAGTTCTTTAGAGAGACAATAACAGAGAGTGATTCTTTCCCTTTTGAACTTTTTTTGTATGCACCATTTATGAGTTGTATTTTTTTTAAATGGCAAAAATATTCTAGGCCCCTAAATCTACTACTGAACATAAACTAACACTCTACCTGTGTATGAGGGGCTGGCCTTGGATGATCAGACCATTGCCGAGTCCAGCTGGACTGTGGGCTAAGTAGAGAAAGCACAACAAATGATAACTAATGTTGCAGTGACAACAAATCTGCTTGTCTTGAACCACACCCAGAGTTCTCGAAATGTGACATTACCAATAGTGTCATCAGCAGCAACATGTGTTACCTGTTGCCAGTGTTTTTATTACTGCAGGCAGTGTAATCCAGCTCTGGGGAGGAAGAGTCAATGCTGTCCTCAAGCATGTCATCAGGCAGGTCTGTGAGCAGCTTGTGCAGCTGCGAGAGGAGAAAAAAAAAAAAAAGAAAGAGAGAAAATAGCACATGGAAATGAGTCACCATGGTTGCTTCGCAACTGAGTTATAAAGTAACAAAGATAGAGGAAAAAAACACCAGAGCTAAGCAATGACTGACAGCTTAAAAGGCTGTAAAAGTCTTATGCAGTTTGTTTTTATTATTTAGCTGCAGTTTTGAGAAATACTTGTTATATTAAATATCATTACATTATGCTGTGCAGATTTACTAAATCAAAATGACTCAGGCTATACCTTAAAACACTTTCAGAAGCTTTTTGTGTTTGCATATGAGATTTAAGGATAAACTTTGATTAAATGATTAATCATGGAAGTATTTGCACTCTGACTGTATTTTGCACAGCACTGCACAGTGTAGCCCAATCTTTATATGGCAAAAAAATGTCTACTATTTAAATATTTGCACATTGTGCTCATATGGCAGTATTTGTATTTTGTGACCTAAATGGGTGAATTTACTCCTATGTTAATCACTGGTTTAGAACCCATATGTGTAAATTTACTTTGACATAAAACTGATTCTCATTGAGGCTTTTCAAATGTACCCTTGTTTAATATTTTGACTCTTACAAATAAAATGACACAAAAAACCCAAACTCTTCAGTAACAGACTAACCAAAGTTACATAACAAACAGCCATGTGTGTTGAAACAAGCAGAGCCAGCTGGACTTACTTCCCATAAGGACCGCTGAATATTCCTCAGATCCTCCACTGTGTCCACAACCAAAGGACCCATATTATCCCACTTACACAGTCAACAAAATTTGAAAAGGCATTTCTACTTTAGCTGTGAAACCACGAGATAACCCCCAGCCTAATCTGCCTGTAGAGAAGGCCTTCTGTGTAAAACATCCAAAATGTGCCTGGCATGTTGTCGGCTCCCTGTGGTATTGTCTTGTTTGCCTCCCAAAGACCTCCATTGTTTAGACCAAACATATAGCGAAGTTAACTGGAGCAGAAACATTCCAGTTACTGCTGGCAGACATTATCCATAACGAGCTAGTGTATTATAAGTAGGTTATAGCCTAAAAAAAGAAAAAAAAAAGAATAAATAAAAATAAATGAAATGAAAATCTATTTAATTAATACTATTTAAAGCCCATTATGCTGAGCTCTATAAGATCAGCAAATGCTTCTTCACTCTCTCTCCTGAAGCCAAGTAACCCAAATAGAAAGTGGGGAAGCCAAAGGGCTGAGCTGGTTTCAGTGTGACACACCTGGAAGGAGGCCTTTTCCTTGAGCCAATAATAGCTCAAGCTCACAGCACAACAGATTGTAGTTGTGAGTAATAACAGTGAGTAACTGTGAAGCAGGCAGTGCTTGTGAAATTCAAACAATGCACTTGTCAATGATTCCCCAGACAGCACTACAAACTCACAAAGAGAAATGTAAGATTAACAGTAGCAGTCCAATTTGGTAAACATACAATCACTGTACACAGTGACAGTAAATGTAAAGTAAGCTGAGATAAATAATGGCTTCTTATCATTTTGTAATTTTAGCATTAGCTGGACATGATGTTGTGTTCTTGCATGTTGAATAACATGCACAGGCTTTCTACTGTGTTGACTGATATCAGCAACTATGATGGCTGTAGCCAATGCGCGATGAAACAAGCAGAGTCAGCTGGCTAAATATGTTTAAAGACAATTAGATGAAGAGCCGAAAGACAAATCGTGTTTTCACAATATGCTTTCTCAGTTAGCTAAGTGGGCACTAAATAACAAAGTAAATAAATAATATCCATCAAATTGTTATTGTAAATATCCTAAGAAATTCAGGGTGCATGCCGAATGTGAACTCAGTCCAACAACTGGATGCACAACTATCAGACAGATGTTATCTGAATAATTCTGAAAAGCTGTAGATCTGAGTGTTGCACCTCTTGCTCTCTGGCGTAGTCCTCTTGGTCGTATTCCTCTTCATCGTGTTGGGTTTGAAGAGCAGCACTGTCAAAATCAATAGACATCATGCACACCCTCCTGGTCGTTTAGGGGATCCTAGGAAAACAGGAACAACAAAACTTAATTTATCTTTGACAGCAGTTAAAAACTCAAGTTAACTAAAATTACGCATTGATATCAGCTAGAAATATATATCAAAGCTTACCCGTTAGTTAAAAGACGCCAGATGTCTCCTTTGCTGAACTGCGTATCCCTTTATTGAGTATTAGCTTTAACTGTTAGCCATGCTGCACTGTTTATTACAAAACAGTGAGGCTTTTTAGCCAGCGGTAAACCCGGACATGCCAAACAAACGATCCAGCCGAGCTCTGGAAACATATGCCCAACACGTTTAATAAGACACGCAGGTTTAATGCCAAATTATAGGCCAGTTTACGAACATTTAAGATGGAAGCTAACTTTGTAGCGAACAAAGCTAACTCCTGCTAGCCGTACCTTGTTAGACTCGCCCACTTTGAAAACTCGCGCGCGTTAGCAGCGCCAAACCACTGAGGCTCTTTGAGACAGAGCAGATTTAAGAATCTGATTGCACACAGACTTACTCATTATCACCACAACTGACGCTAATTCACCGACACGAAAATATTAATTTAAATGCTTTTTGGCGTAACAAAACATACCAGGTGAAGCTATTTACAAGATTTCTTTTCTTGCTGAGAACCCCGGAGCTAGTTAACCCCGTGTCCATGGTAACAAAGTCTTTAGAATTATGGGTAATGTAGTTATCGAGAATATTTGGAAATTATATATAAAATGTTATGTTTGTTGTTGCTCTTTCATGTTATTTTTTGTTTTTCTTTCCTCCTTTTTTATTCATGGTCAACATGTATTAATTCTTCGTCATCGCTGACATTTTTAAAAAGCAATCTGATGTTCCCATCGTGTGGTTAAACAGTGACATAGCAGCTAATTTCAAGATAACCGTGAACAGGGTTACTAAATAGATATTATAATCAGGTTAGTCGAACCTGGGAATTTGATCACAAAAATATGGCATTACATTTCTGTTATTTTAATTACCTTTTTTTGTTTTTGTTTATTTTTTTACTGAAGTTCATTGACGTTAACATTAAAGCTAATTAATTTAAAGTAGGCTACTGTAAAAAAAAAAAAAAAAGAAACTTTGTGCATCAAATTTATGAATGACCGTTCTCATCAGGAGTTACTCCGTTCAGATTTGTGGACGTCGACTCATAAGACCCGCCTCCTTTCCGTCTATTAACTTCCGCATTTTGCCTCTGCTGCATCAGCTGCTTCAGAGTCAGCTCTTCCTTTGTAGACAGACGCTAAACTCAGCTGAGCTCCGACCAGAGTTCAGCATTTTGGTATCCGGGAGCCTCTTGTGACAGTCAGCTGATCTAAACCCGGATATGTGAAAGCTCTGAGCTCTCCTGTCTGACAACAAGTGGACTCACAATTACTTTAAAACGGGTAGAAATGGCCACAAACCCGCCCAAGTTAAAGACAAAGATAGCTGCTAACGAGAGGTGAGAAGCAACGAGGTTACGCAGTGATTCTCAGAGTATGATATTATGATACTTAATTGCTTTTCTTGTCATTTTGCAGGATGAAAAGCTTAAAAGAAACCTTTGAGTCAAAGTATGGGGAATCTCCTCTCTTCTATGCATTTGCACCTGGAAGGGTAAACCTAATAGGTAATTTCATACTTTATGTGGCATGTGTTGTATACTGATTGCATTATTGTATATGCTCCATCTATTTTGTATCTGTTGAATAAATACAGTGTATACCCATATATCCTCTGGAGATAATAGTAGTTCTGCCAGTGGGTGTTCTTAATATTTTGACCTTGTTTCAAAGTAAAACATTTGTGGTAATATTATGATTTTGTTTGCAGCTTTTATCCAGGAATTCTTTTAGTGGTACCAGTCAAACACGGTCTGTCACATACGTCTTTTCATATTTGTCACATTAACAGGTGAACATATTGATTACTGTGGCTATTCTGTGCTTCCAATGGCCATCGAGCAGAATATCCTCACAGCTGTGTCAGTGAACGATTCAGGGAAGATCCAGCTGGCCAACGCAAATCCTAAATACAAGTGAGATGTGAACACTTATAGTAACGGCCCCAAATATATATTTTTTTGTTTGTTTGTTTTTGGCCTGTGTAATTTATTCAATGGTAGCTGTACATTATGAGTGTGTGTTCTCAGAAAGCTTGTTGTTTGTCATTATACAGGGATTTCAGTGTGTCGTGTTCAGAGGAAATTGCCATAGATAGAGACGATCCACAGTGGTATTATTATTTTCTCTGTGGGGTTAAAGGTATTCAGGTAAGCTTTGTGATGAGTTCTATACTCTTAAATTATGGAATGGCAAAAAATGAATACTATAACATGTACTAAATGCGTCATAAGTCGTAACATGATACATTTAGATTTTTTTTTCTTTCAGGAGAAGTTTGGGCTAAACCATTTAGCGGGGATGTCCTGTGTCGTAGATGGAACGATCCCTCCGAGCTCCGGCCTGTCCAGTTCTAGTGCCTTAGTTTGTTGTTCTGGCCTCGTAACAATGGAGGCAAACCAAAAGTCCCTCTCCAAGGTGAAGCTTCTTTGTAACCAAACCAAAAACATGTATTAATTTCTTTTGTTAATAGTCAAAAATGATGCTTTCAACAGGTAATGAACAATTAATTACAAAGAATATGACTCCTAATCCATATTGTCTTTAATTTGTTATAATGTGAATCCTCATGAGTTAGACATTCTCCTGGATTTGTTGCTTAAACAAGGAAAACTTTGTATTTCACCAGGTGGCTCTTGCGGAGATTTGTGCCAAAAGCGAGCGATACATTGGCACAGAGGGAGGAGGCATGGACCAGTCAATTTCATTCCTGGCAGAGGCAGGGACTGTATGTAGCCCGACCGCTTTTGACCTGTGTTTAACGAATATGGCACATCTAAAATACACTAAATAAACAAATAATAACTTCAGTATTGCTGGCTAAACTTTTTGAATTGTCTGTCAGGCAAAGCTGATCGAGTTCCAGCCCCTGCGTGCTACCGATGTCAAACTCCCTGATGGTGCCGTGTTTGTGATTTCCAACTGCTGCGTGGAGATGAACAAAGCTGCTTCTTCTCACTACAACATCCGTGTGGTGGAGTGTCGGATTGCCACGAAGGTGCTATTTGTTGCCATGATGCATTCCTGAAATATCTGTTATATATGTTGTTTTGTTTCCCGAGGTTCAATTTAATATTGAATTTAGTTTGACTCGTGTGCTCTTTCAAAGGCAACGGAGCACAACATTTAACCCAAGAACACAGCGATGAACAGCCTCACGCTTCGCTTTAAACTTTAAACATGTGTGATAAGTTTGTAATATTCAAAGTTAACAACCCGGTGGATGTGTACTCAGATGCTGGCCCAGGCGCGGGGTGTGGACTCGAGCAGGCTGTTGAAGCTGGCTCATGTTCAGATGGAGCTGAAGGCCTCCCTGGAGGAGATGCTGGCTCTGGTGGCCGAGGTGCTGCATCCTGAGCCTTACAGCCGAGAGGAGATATGCAAGGTGCTGGGCATCACCTCGGAGCAGTTTTCAACAGAGCTGCTCAGCGCTAATACTCAGGACAGTAAGTAAAACCTTTATTTAGGTGAACTAAATTTCCAGCCAACCAAATTCTTCTACCCGAGTGAAATGAGCTACATTTCTTTCTTTCAGAACATTTTTCTTGTAAATACTAAGCAACTCTTAATATATTATTTTCTGCTGATAGTCAAGTATTTGGTTATTCCATCACATTAGATTTTTTTTTCATTTCCAGTTTCATGAAAACAGGTTTAAGATTAAGGTTTTCGCTGGAACACTTTTCCTGTTATTTCTCTCAGTGACTCAGTTCAAGCTTCACCAACGAGCCAAACATGTGTACGGGGAAGCTGCTCGAGTCCTGCAGTTTAAGAGCGTGTGTGACTCTGAACCCGCCGATGCCACGCGGCTACTGGGAGAGCTGATGAACCAGAGCCACGCAAGCTGCAGAGACCTCTACGAGTGCAGCTGCCCTGAACTGGACCAATTAGTTGATATCTGCCTGTGAGTACTGCAAACTAACCCACTACTGCACAGCCTGGGAGAGAAACCTGGATGTTATCCAATGAATGTTTAGAGGTATTTAGGTTCATTTACCAAAAAAAAGATCTCAATTAATAAAAATCCACAATGCAAACTATAATATAATAACTATAACTACAATCTAGTTTGCATACAGTCTCTCATGTGTCCCAGTTCTAATTATAAAAGACAATCAATTAATCAAGTGCATCAGAATAGCAGAACCAGGCTGCTACTTGCCCTCTCAGTTCCTTTGGAAGCAGTAAGGATGGACTTAGTCATTCAAGGGCTGTATGATTTCTACTCGTGTTAGCATTAGCTCTTTGCTGAGTGCTTACAGTAAGTAGAACCTCACACCACTAGCATGACTGTAGATGTACGTGCAACTCCTTCCTCACATCTTTCCTAGAGGAATAATAGTATTAAAGTGTCATACTTAGCACTATACTGAAATATGTTGTCTTTTTGTTTTTTCTCGTGGTTGCAGGAAGTCAGGGGCTGTGGGTTCCCGCCTGACAGGAGCAGGGTGGGGAGGCTGTGCCGTTTCCATGGTTCCCAGTAAAAAGGTGGAGTCTTTCTTACAAGCTGTTAGAGAAGAATACTACCTCCCTGATCCACGCAGGGCAGCGATGGAAAAACAAAGTCTGTTTGTGTCAAAGCCAGGTGGTGGAGCTGCAATTTTCCTCGAGGAGTGATCTTCATAATCCATTTCTGATTTTATACTGCAGTCATTCAGTTTCAGTTTCAGAAATAAATGGGTTTTTCTTGCACTTGTGACTAATGATATCATGACTGATAAATTTACCTTTTTCTTCTATATAGATCATGCTGGAAAATAAG